AATATATTTTGACGCACCCTGTACACACATCGAGGGATCGCGCATTGAAATATAACAGTCCCGTTAAACTATCATGTTCCTTAAATTATATATTTTGACGAACCCTTGTATACTCGACTCAATGCCCGTTACATTGCCGTCATGTTTTTTTTTCTTTAACGCTGACAACCATGTTTTTATTTCTTTAATACCCTGTATTTGTTCTCATTCCAAACGTGCTCGAATGGGTATCTTCCAAACCGCGATAACGCTGCTCGATTCTCTGCCGTACGCGTGACCTTGAAAGGAACGAAAAACGCCAGAATGGACCTTAGCCATTTCCCATGTTAATCTCCATAAGGAATGGGCCAGAACTCCTATAGCCTATTTACTCCCTAACTGTATATTTCTTTTGTAGATTATACTGTGAAACAACTGTAAAAATTGTACTTCCCTTACCTTTCTGAATAGAACCTCCCAAACCGTGAATCGAAGAATAATTTTTTGAAATCTTCAAGCCCAACCTTTTACAACATCCGATTGTCAGTAAATTGGTTTCACTACCCGAATTTAAAATAAATCTAGCTGTAGCTCCTGCAATTAAACTCGTTTCAACGAAAACAACCATAGAAGTAAGCAAAGTTGTATAGTTGAAATCATCCTTTAAATAAACCGCATTAGGTTCTGAACATAAATGCACATCAACCGTTGATGTATCATTACTAACCGTTTCCCTCCTTTCAATGTTTGATCCTGAGGCCGCATCACCATTCGATCCAATAACTTGATTTGGTTTTCCCAAGTGAAGCAAAATGTGATGTTTTTTAGAACACTCCACACACAACCGCTCGATAGGATTATTTTTTACCCTGTGCTTGTTTGACAAACAATTGTAGCACCAGCCATTGTCCCTAACCGCTTCATATCTTTGTTCCGGTGACAAAGACTTGAATTTATCACATCTACCCAAGTAATGACCTGTTTCCTGACAGAAAACGCATGTCATTCCTTCTTTTTTCCGTTGATTTACCACAAACGATTTGATTGTCTTTATCGATTTATTATTATTATTTGACACCGATGTTGTTTTATCACGACGTAATATTTTTGCCTGATTTTGTATGAATTTTATTAAATCTTCATAAGTTGGAATTTTGGAACTCTTTTGTTTCATTTCAAAAACCCTTACAGAATTATGATCTAACTTAGCTAAAGCCTGATAAAACAACATGAAGTCTGCTAAATCTGGTGAATTCAATTTTTTCAATGCCGAGACCGCTACGTCAAATTTTTCTAGAAATACATCCAAATTTCTTGCCGATTCACTTTGCAACGGCTTGAAATCAAAAATTTGTTGTAAATAACTGTCCGCTAACATCCGTTTATTTTCATACTTTTCGGTCAGAGCCTTGTACAAAATATTATAATTATCGCCGGTGATAGAAAATCCCGCACAAATTTCCGAGGCCGGTCCTCGTAAACTTCTCACTAAATAATGAATTTTGTCTAAATCTGTCAAAGATGCATTATCGTGAATCATACTCTTGAAGTGCGAATGAAATGTTTCCCACTGCCGTATTTCTCCCGAAAATAAAGGTAATTCAATTTTCGGCAACGGAGGTAATCTATTATCTACTATAATATTGCCGCTATTACTATTGGACTGCCTAGATTGAATTCCTTTTGCAGCCACAATTGATTAATAGTTGGAAGAAGCTTATAATCTGGTACAAATTCATCATCTATTTCAAACTGCACTTCATTGATCTGATCTAATACCAAATTCAAAGCTTCTCTAGTAGTATCTAGAGTCAAATATTATATTTTGAAAGCTTCAACTTCTTGGCGTTCCCAATGATTCTGATAGATCGTACAGTTTCTGCAAAATAGAGAAGAAATACTCTTTTTTCGCTGTTAACATTTTATATTTCCTATCTGCTACCGTATCCATTTTGACTCTAATAATTCCCAATGGAAACTTGATGTCCGATTGCAAATTTCACCTTCCGAAATTAAGACCATACCAACCCGTTCAATATTTTTCTGTATTTATTTGACCGTAATTCAAATATACCCGATATACTGAACAATCTGACAATACCGCTAAAGGCCTGACTACTTCCGCTTTTTATACTGCTAACCGATTCGAGAAAAGAAAAAACAATCCAAGTTTTTCTAACCACCAATCCGACTCGAATAGGACCAAATGCGTTATGTTCTGTAATGGATATGATAAACTCAAAACACAGAATACACTAAATAATAACTCAGTGATGGTTAAATAAACCCAGGATTGAGACTTACCCCTTTCTCGTTTTTTGCTGTTGGATCCAAACTGCTTCAGGGAAACTATTATGGCAAAGTAGGAAGGGATCAAGGAGTTTTAGGAGAAGCAGTGTTCAGAAAGCTTATTTGAACAAAAGAACAATTCACACATTAGTCTATACAATAAAATCACCCGCGCGTATCTTATTTCTTTTCCGATCCAGCCGTTCCGAATATTTCTAATTTCAAAAACTAAACTACTCAACTAAATAGATTTATTCTATAAAACCGAGAGCGGTGTTGCCGAAACTTAAATTAATTTTCCTTAAATATATACATGCCTAAACACCTTGTCTGTCCCACGCTATGATCAAATTAATTTTCATATCTCAAATAGTGCTTCAATTAAACATTTGAAAATTTAAATACAACTTCAGAAGTTTGACCCACACACCTAGTACCAATTTATCATAAGGGCTTTTTGTGATCGACAGCAAATTATGACGATTTCTCCCTATCGTACCAGTTGACGTTTGTCAAAGCTTGGTACTACAAGGATCAGAACAATTTTTCGTGGTGTATTTCATCAGTTTGGAATATAATATAAATTGATTTGAAAACCCTGAAAAAAATTAAAAAAATTAATAAGATCAACCGAAAATAACAATTTTTATTAAACAAAAAACTGAAATTACAAAAAAATAATATACAAGCAACAACCAAACATATAAAAAATTGAAATATATATTAATAAAAGCTGAAAAATGGAAATTAAAAAGAATTATTAACAAAAAATGAAAAATAAAAATTAAAAGATTGTAAACCAAGTTATGTCACGACGTTTCGATTGCTAGTATCCACAATCATTATTACCCGAAGACAATAACAATTTTAATAAGTTTGAATTTGTTGAATATTTTATAAGCTTTCGGGTGGGCTAGAGAAGAGCTGAAGAATACTCAAAATGACACAACAGTTTTCTATATTCAATATTGGAAACTCTTATCTACTGATTCATGTTAAGTATACCTGATAAACAGCTTTTTTGGAAGTAGAAGAACAAACACTTCAGATTCGTAGAAGCCTTTATTTCGTACAGAATATGTAGTTCAAACATCCATAGTGCTATTTTTACTACTAAAACAATTTCTTCATGAGATAGATATTTTGTAGGATTACTCAATGTTATAATAATAAATCACCAATATCATCTGCCATTTTACTTATTTTTTTTTGACGAAAACATAATATAACGAAATCGAATTGAATGATACATAATAATGTCAAATACAGTATTGATTTTCGGATCGACCATTGAACAGACATTCCTAAAGACTCACTGAAACTTACTCCATAATCAATTCAAATTCTTCCGCTCTGTATTTACGTCTCTTGAGATGAATATAAATTTTGAAACCTACAATACTTATAATCAAAACTAAAAATATTGAAATGAGAGTCATAACTGTATTAAATAAAGGGTTTATATTACTTGCGATTGCATTTGTGTTTAGTCTTTCAGAATTCTGTTCGTTTGCGCAAAATATACCAGCAACATTTTCATGAAAAGTGTCTTTTTTTTCTTCCAGCGTGTAATTGATTGATTTTTGTTTGAAAAATCTTACTATTTCAACCAATAACTCGCAAGATAAATGATTTTGTTGAATATTCAAAACTGAAAGTGATGGCAAATTAGAAATTATCAAATCGTACTGTATATATTTCAAATTATTGTCAGAAATATCCAAAATGTATAAATTCTTCAATGGATTCAGTAAAATGTAATCTAAACTTTCCAAACGGTTGTGAGAAATATTGAGAAAATTCAAATTGTTCAGTTCATTGAATGTAGCTGGATATAACGTTTTGAATTTATTTCTCGATATATCGATAGTCTTCATTTTCTTCAAATCTCGAAATACTGACTCTGGTAATATATTTATCTGGTTTCCTGCCAAAAAAAGGGTTTTCAGTTCGAATAAACCGCAAAACGAATTATTGTTCACTTTTATACGATTGTCATTCAAATCAAGTAATTCAAGTTCGTTAAATCTTTCGAACATGTAAGGTTTTACTTCCGAAATATTGTTATCATAAAGAAAAAACTTCTGCAAAGATTGTGTACTGTTGATTATAGAGATACTATCAAATTTCAGTTTGTTTGAACCTAAGTTAAGATACCTCAACATGGGTGAATCCGTTATATTGAAGTACGTCAAACCATTATGAGATAAATCTAAAAGCTCTAAATTGTTTTTTCCATGAAATACTCTATCTTCTATCATAGTTATATTATTGTTTTGGAGAAAGAGGTTCTTCAAATCTTCAAGTAGTTTGAAGTCAGAATTTTTCAATAGAGTTAGCATGTTTTCTTGTAATTTCACCTCTTTAATGTATTTGATATTGTTAAATAAATCCCCTAACGTTCTCAATCTGTTGTGGCTCAAATCTAACTCTACTAAATCCGAAGCAAATTCATATATGGTATAGTCATCTTTCGGTACATTCAAAGCATATGAATGACTATTAACACTAAAATCCATAGAGTTAATAGCACTTTCACATAATGTGAAGAAATAATCAACACTCTCTATCAAGTTATTTGATAGATTCAACGATTTTAAGTTTTTTAAGTCGCATATCACGATATTTGCTGTATCTTCCAACATATTTTCTGTGAGTTGAAAATGCTCCAAGACATCTAAATGCTTCAACGTACTTTTTTCGACTTTAATCAAGCTATTGTTGGATAACACCAATTCCTTCAAATGATTTATGCCTGAGAAAGTGTATTCATTCATATGAAATGTGGTATTCTGGATGGTGAGCTGTTCTAACTTTGATAGAGTTTTGAAGATGCGTTCCGTTGGTGAAAATGTGAAAATTGAATTTTTTATAGTAAGAAAACGGATTTCTTTCACATTTTGAAATATTTCGGAAGTTACGTTGTATAACGCAGAATTTTCTATCTTCAGACTTATTTCGTTGTTGATTGTGATGTTTCGAAGAATATCGAGGTGGTCTTTCGAAAGGTATTGACAGGTTATGTAATAACCTCGTTTATCAAAATTGTAATCTTTGTCGCAGTGTAAGGCACTCAAGATTCCAATCGTTGACAGTAGTACGATCACCTTCATTTTACCTGTAACAAAACATCGAATTAAAATTGTAGCCTATTTCAGTATTTATATTTATATTGATTTCCGTATTCGAATTCTGTTAGAATTAGGATTCTATGGATATATACAAAGTAGAAGAATTATGCCCGAAATAACATCAGCAAGTGCATATATTAATATTGAAAAGGCTTTATATGTTTTTTTGAAAGTTACTTCTATGCATGATCTACACATCTTTGAAAAAAGTTACTACTTTTACAATTGATTGCTTCCTTCGTTTCTTTGGAAGATTCCCACATTTATTTTTGTATCTAGATAGAGTAGTAGGAAGCTAAACACTTTGTTTCCCAAAAATTGATATATTGAATTGTCCACATTTTCAAGGACAATACACAAGCACTACAGGAAAATCCTTAAGGCGCTCTAAGAGCGGTGCCTGTGCGAAAGTAGTGATTCACATTGGATTTGAATTGCTGGAGATTTAGATGTGAAGTTTAAGTTGAGTTGAATCTCAAAACGATGAGCAGCAATATTCTAATAACCTTTTTTGTTTTGAAAATATTTTGAAAATTGTGTTATTATTGAATAACAATTCAATCCACAAACATATATACTGAGTGAATCGAATCAAAAGTTTTTCAATTTTTTCAATGAAACATTCAACATATTTCATTCAAGAAGTATTTTTTTCTTGAAAATCTCTTTGTAAAACTGTGGGCTTTTGTAGGTGAATACCTAGGGTTCCAAAGTCACAATAAAAATACTAAGTTTCAAAAATTATATTATTTTCAACATCGAATTCTTCCAGCAAAAACTTCGAGAAGATTGATAATGAATTAGTCGACTTTATAAGGAAATAATTGTACAATAGAGTTCAAGTTGGATCATTTGGGATCGATGGAATCGAAGTATTCCAGGCTCAGGTTTACTATAAGATTATAATGTGAAATCCATGAAATAACATAAAATTTTCTTGAAAAAAAAAACACTGAATCTTCCAGTTTTTCAGTCAAATTACTTCTCAACAATCATTTAACATAGTCTTACAAAATTCTCTTCTGAGAAGAATAACTTTAGCTTGTTTGTTTTTATGATATTACTTGAACCCATTGATATATACATATATGTAACTTCATATTTCTGCAGAGTGCTTTTTTTGCCGACGACCTGGGTTCAATTCTCTAACCAGTAATTTTTTTATTTCATTTCCCATGAAATTTCCAGCCGCCGATGGTCATTGAGACCATGTGATGGTGAGCTTGGATAGGTAGCCTGTCTCGTGAGGTGAGAACAATTTTAATTTCCCGCTGTGCGCGCAGTAGATTCTGATTGGTCGACTGAGTAATGACAAAAAGTGGAGAAGTGGAGGTGTTCTTTACTCCGGCAACTACTACTCATGTAAAATGAAATATAGTGTGTTTCTAAAAAAATTACGGTAGTTCTATCCCAACACCAAACCGTTATTTCCAATACCTCGACACGTGTTTCAATCACCAAGTGATCAAATGGCAATGGACAAATACATTCATTTTTCGCCATTTTTTTAATTAACTTCTGGACCGCATGGTATATATTTATGAATTATTATAATTTTGAAACAATTTCATGGGGTAATTCGAATGTGAAAAGCAATAAATATCATTCCTTCAAAATAAATAATTCTGATTCGAGATGCTGTATATAAGATACTATTTTAGAAAAAGCTCAATGCATTAATATCTAAAACCTTTATAGTGAAGATTTTTTGATAACTTTACTCCTTCACCTAAAAATTCTAATAAAAGCTCGATACTATATAATATCTTGTATACCTATCTTTACCAGAATGGAATAATTCAGAGTTATTCACAATCAGTAATACAGCAACAGGAATTCCAGCTCAAAATACCATGTATTTTCTTATGGCGCTTCATTCTGGCGTTTTTTCGACCTCATGCCCACTTCCCACGGAAGGGGTAAAGGTCAGCGCCTTGTCTCTGCCCGACGTCCATTATGTGTAAACTGAGCTCCACTTCTTCACTTTTACCATCATTCAGTCATCCAATCAGCTATCGCGCATACAGCGGGAAATTCAAACCACCAGTAGATGAACAAGGCCGATACGAGCACAAAATCCCATGTATTTTCTTATGGAGCTGAACTTTTTGCAATTTTTGGTTCAAACAGGAGTGGGGGAAACGTGTGACGTCATCGACGCAGGATGGAATGACTATCGTAACGATTCAAGCGTGGAACTCCGACCCTCGGCTCCCTTAATACTCCGCATCACCAATCGGCTCCTTTTGTACTCTGCCCATCGACCCTATCGAGACTCCGCCCCTCGGCCCCCTTGACGCGTTGCAGTCACGTGGTTTTAATTGAAAAACGTTTTTAGTTACGAGAATCGAACCAGGTTCTTCCATGGGGTAGGCGTTGTCCTCAGCCTCTACACCAATATAAAATATTGAAAGTAACTGCGAATGATGGGTATTTAAAGCGTTAGTTTTGTCGAGACTGAAATTGACTCATTTTATATACGTGATCACATTTTTTTGATTTCCGTAGAATGTTATGGAAATTGTAACGTCATTATCATGTTGAAGATTGGAAAATATACTCATATTTGGAAAAGAATTAATATTTCATGTAAAGATGTGTATGCATGTGCAAGAATGAGAAACACGTGTGACGTAATCGAGGCAAAGAGAGATAGAGATGGTATCGAGATTTTACGTTCCTAGCGCAAGCAGGTGTTGCCGCTTGTGAGCATGAAGGGTTAGGAATACGACTCGATGAAAATTGAAAGCGCGAAAGTAATACATTAATAATAATGAATCAGATTTGAGAAAAATATGACAACCCAACAGTTCAACCTGTGCTCCCTCAATGTGTACGGGGTGTCTCAAAATACATCATTAAAGAAAAACACATGGCGTCGAAGTGTACAGGGTGCGTCAAAATACATACATCATTTGAGAAAAAAAACATAACATTCGTTTGAAGGTGATTGACAATGTTTCATGATGAATTTCACTAGTTCGGACTTCCATTGTCTACTATATAAAATGATTTGAAATCCCTGAAACAACTAAAAAAGAAGAATTAAAAATGAAAAGCTGAAAATGACAATTATATTAAGCAAAATAAACCTGAAATGAGATAATAATGAAATAAAATTTTAGTAAAAATAGAACGATTGAATATATAAAAATAAAGAAATGAAAAAAGGAAATAAAAATAAAATATGGAGAGATTCCAAGTCAGTTAGTGAACTAACGTGCTATTCATTTTTAATTTTCCTTCTTTAGTTATTTCAGGGATTTCAAATCATTTTATATAGCAGACAATGGAAGTCCGAACTAGTGAAAAACATAACAGTTCCACGAGGCTGTAAGTTTTCAACCGGCGATCCCTCAATGTGTACCATATCATTTGAGAAAAGAAACATCGGTTTAAAATATATCAATGTGTATACATGGCGTTTCAAAATACATCATTCAAGAAAAAAACATGTCTGTTCAACAGAAATCCAGCGTTACAATATGTCAGAAGAATACTAAGTCCCCTATCTTTGTTAACCAAGTTAGCATCATCAGGAGGAGGAGGAGGAGATTGCACGAAAGTTGTCAAAGAGTTATGTATTTTGGAGAAAGCGAAGGATTCAACCGTTTTACAAGCGTTACGACTGTTTTGCGTGCGACCGTTTCGCGTGCGTTTCGACCGTTTTTGGTGCGTTTTCGACGGTTTTCCGTGCGTTTTCGACGGTTTTCCGTGAGTTTTCGATCGTTCGCGTGCGTTTTCGACCGTTTTGCGTGCGTTTTCGACAGTTTTTCGTGCGTTTCCACAGTTTTCCGTGTGTTTATCCATTATCATTCCATCGTTATTGTCATGACCGTTTCCATGTTCCAATATGACAGTCATTTATCACTCAACGCGATTCGCTAACCAAGTAAGCATCATCAGGAAATCACTAAAGTCCATGCTTTGTCGTATGAAGATTCATTTCGCGAATTTTCAGACTCCTGAACAGAACCTTGTGGAACACTCTGCCTAACTTCTGTTGAAGAGTGGTGGCAGTCTGCCAATCAAAATGGAGGAATCAAATATAGCTCGATTGATTGTGTGAGATGAAATTGAACTGGAGAATGGGGGTCGAATTATAATAATAGTGATAAAATTTTGAAACTTTGAAAGTGACGTAGTCAGCGTGGGAGGTGGTGGCGTGTGTGATGATTTGTGGAAATTAATGAGTTATCACAAAAAATAATAGTGCAACTTTCAGAAGGGTTAGGTTAGGTCCGAGGTTAGCTGCACCGCAACCCGCAAGGGTTTATTGTGGCTCACACCTATTCTCACTCCGCCAAACAAACCCAGCTTCTTAACGAAGCCGATTAGTTTATATGGTGAGTGGTCTTTCAGGTCAGATGGTAAGAGTACGGCTCTGCCGATTTCTCAAGACCTGATCCGATCCCCAGCGGGGCAGGCCTGTTATTGAGGTAGTCGGATAGTCAAGTTGCAAGATTCCCACCTTGATACCCACAACCTTCCCATATGAGGGTTTTTGCACGTCAGCTACACCTGAAGATGCCTCAGATTCAGCCGTGCAGGGCTTTTTCACCTCTAGTTTTGGTGAAATCTCACTTGAGCGCAAACGTTTGCTAACCTGCTCATAGGGGGTTAGTTCCCCCACCTGAGACAGATTCTGCGTACGCCGCAGCTCTCGCTCTTGAACTAAATTTACAGGGAGGTCAATTGGATTCGTAAACTCGACATCCATCTCCTCTGTAGACTCGCTCCCGAACTAAATTCACAGGGAGGTCAGTTGGAGTCGTAAACTCGACATCCATCTCCTCTGTGGACTCGCTCCTGTAATGAATTCACAGGGAGGTCCGCTGGAGTCGTAAACTCGACATCCCTCTCCTTTAGAGACTCGCTCCTGAATTAAATTTACAGGGAGGTCAGTTGGAGTCGTAAACTCGACATCCATCTCCTCTGTAGAGTCGCTCCTGAACTTAATTTACAGGGAGGTCAGTGGAGTCGTAAGCTCGACATCTATATCCTCTATAGACTTAGCGTCAGAAAGAATTTTTTAAGTTTACTCTGTCTATAAAGGTCCCACGAGTAGCTAGGGAAAGAAGATCAATCACGGCAGAGCCCCGCATTACCGTAACAAGGCGATGCTACGACGAGAGGGCGCCCGGTATCTCGAATCCGTAGAGACAGCTGATAGGCTCAGTGTCATTCATCATCTCATCACAGAAAAATGCCGCTCTTCGACTGGTTCGATGAAAAAGTTACAACACCAATACTCAGAGAGCTCGAAGAGTTTCAACAAAAGGACAGCGGCTGGGCACTGCGTTGTGAATATTGATAAGTTCACACCACAGCTGGGGTCCTCATTGATAGAACTTCCACCTCAAATTTTGCTGAAGAATGCTTGCATAAATGTAAGAAACGATGATGAGGCCTGCTTTGCGTGGGCTGTTATCTCAGCATTTTATCCTATGCAGAAAAATGCTGATCGTACTTCATCATATCCTCATTATTCCTCATTGAAACTTGGAGAAATTCATTTCTCAATGACTGTTAGACAAATTCCGGGATTTAAAAAACTGAATGATATTTCTATCAATGTTTACATCCTTCAAAAGAAATGTGAAACGTTCATTACTCTACCTAGATACCTCACAAAGGAATGTGAACTTACTGCTGATTCAAGATAATTTTGATGAATCTGAACTTATCAAGGCTCTTATTGAAACAGTTGAGTAAGGAACATGGTCAAAAGTACTTTTGTCTGCCTACAGTACTTTCGATCCGAAAAAAAAGTACAGAAACATGCTGAGGATTGTCAGAGAATCAATAAAACAGTCATCAAAATGCCTGAGGAGGGTAAAAACCTTCTCAAGTTCACAAAACATAAAAATAAAGAAAGTGTATTTTCGTCGTATACGCCGACTTAGAATCCGTTTTGAAGCCTACTGATGATCCTAAAAAACCTCAACATCATATTCCGGTAGTTGTAGGTTACTACTTGAAGTGCTCATACGAAGACACTCTTTCCTCCTATAGGGCATACCGTGGAGAGGATTGTATGCAATGGTTCGCTGATGAGATGGATCAACTAGCTGAGATATGGCTACAGTGTTTTGGCGTCTATACGACATCGATATGACTGTAGAGCAAGAAGTTGAGTTTCGAAGAACTTCACACTGCCACATCTACGAAGAGCCCTCCACTCCATCTCATACCATGTAATAACTATTGTGACCCCGCGCACGAAGGGTGTAATAAAAACTACAAAGATAGCTATATAGTTCCCGTAGTCTTCCACAATTTGAGTGGCTATGATGCACATTTCATCATCACAGATAATGTATCTAGAATAAAGAAAACGATTGATCTTCTCCCCATCACAAAAGAAAAGTACATCTCCTTCATGAAACATGTCGATGAGCCTTCAGTGAAGTTTCGATTCATCGATTTATTCCCTTTTATGAATTTATCTTTGGATATATTAGCATCACACTTGACAGAGTTTCCTAATGTGAAGGGTCAGTTCTCTGAGTTATCTGAAAACTTGGTTAAATTACTCACTAAAAAGGGGGTCATGCCTTATGATCATATTGATTCCTTCGATAGATTTGATGAAACTTGCTTGCCCCCTATTGATGCCTTCTACAACAAATTAGAAGATAAGCCCTGCCCCCGCAGACTATATCAACGAGCCCAGGATGTGTGGAAGTGTTTCACTTGTCAGACTTTGGGTCAATATGTGGAATAATATGTGATAACAGATATTCTCCTCTTCGCTGACGTATTCGGACAATTTCGTACAAGCTGCCTCAGAACTCATAATCTGGATTCTGCCCACTACTTTACGCTACCAGGCCTTACGTGGGCTCAACACCAAAGTTGAATTGGACGTACTCACCAATCCTGACATGTTTCTATTTCTTGAACGAGGAGGACATAGCCAAGTTTGTTCGAAGAGAAGAGCTCATGCGAACAATAAATATTTGAACAATTATGACCCTCCAAATCCTGACACATACCTCATGTATTTCGATGTAAACAACCAGTATGAGTGGGCGATGTCACAGTATTTGCAATATGATAGGTTTAAGTGGTGCGATACCAATATTGACGTTTCAATACCCGATGAGAGTGGCGTGGGAAATATGCTTGAAGTTGATCTGGAGTATCCTAAACATCTACATGATTCGCACATAGACTCACCATACTATCCTGAACATATGAATCCAAAAACGAAAAATCCCCCTAAATCGATAGAAGAGCTCACTAAATTGATGACTACCCTTCATCACAAAGCAAAATACGTGATTCATTATTGCACCCTCAAACAGGCCATTGCTGATGGTCGTGTCATCACGAAAATTCATCGAGTACTTCAATTCAACCAGTCACCATGGTTGGAGTCCTATATTGATTTGAAAACCGAGTTGCGACAAAAGAGCTCACCAAATTGATGGCTACCCTTCATCACAAAGCAAAATACATGATTCATTATTGCACCCTCCAACAGGCCATCACTAATGGTCGTGTCATCAGGAAAATTCATCGAGTACTTCAATTCAACCAATCACCATGGTTGAAGTCCTATATTGATTTGAATACCGAGTTACGGAAAAGGGCTAAGAATGAGTTTGAAAAAAACCTTTTCAAACTTATGAACAATGCAGTATTCGGAAAAACAATGGAAGGCCTTAGAAAAAGAGTCAACATTAAACTCCTCTCCAAATTGGCTAATCGCTACGCAGTCAAAGCCTATATTTCTGAGCCAGAGTTCAAAAATTGTATGATATTCAACGAGAATTTGGTGGCAGTCGAACTGAGGAAACTGCAAGTTTATCTGAATAAAGCGATACAAGAAGGACAAACTGAATTAGACTTCGCAAAGACTACCATATACGATTTTCATTATGACTATATGCGTCATCGATTCGGAGATGAATCTGAAGAAATGAACTGCATATGCAGGAAATTTTCTGTGGAGATTCCTGCACTGATGCCTGTCGGATATAATCCAACGCCCTTCGTGGTATTAGCCAGGGGAATAGTTGTTTTCTGATAGGCGTCAGTCCATTTAACCTACTGTGTAGGTATATTCGAGACTGGCTTGAACGTTTAAAGTTCATTTCTTTAGATTTGTTCACTGCCAGTCTTCAAGCTCAGCCCACTGTCTAATGAGGAAGTTTTTCTTCCTTATTCAGAGGAATCGTGCAAATTACAAATATGCAGTTGTTTAGTACCTCGTCCACTAGATGTAGTGACATTTTGTTGTTTCGCTTCAACTTAGGAAGAGGAATGAAATACTCTGAAAGAATTCCAATTTTCAATTATGGAATATTATTGACTGTATGTCGATGATGGTCACTATCTTGCACTGATGAGTGGCTAATGAGCCCGAAACCGGTCTGCAAGTGTGCCCGTTTCAGAATTGAAGGTCGACTCTTCCAGTTGTATTGCCAATTGCATATGCAGGAGATTTTCTGTGGAGATTCCTGCACTGACGCCTGTCGGATATAATCCAACGCCCTTCGTGGTATTGGTCAGGGGAGTAGTTGTTTTCTGATAAGCGTCAGTCCATTTAACCTACTGTGTAGGTATATTTGAGACTGGCTTGAACGTTCAAAGTTCATTTCTTCAGATTTGTTTACTGCCAGTCTTCAAGCATAGCCCACTGACTAATAAGAAAGATTCGGAGATGATTGTGTAATTCTCTACACCGATACAGATAACCTGATTTATGAAATATGCAATCAGGATCCTTATGAAATCATACGTCAAGATTGTCACAATTTTTTCTATACTTCGTATTATACTTCCAACAATCAGTTTGACATTCCGTTGATGAATAAATAGGTTCTCGGAATGATGAAAGATGAAAATAACGTAGT